GGGGTCCCGCTCGCCATCGTCATCGACAACGGCACACAGTTCACTGACAAAAACTTCTGGGACTTCGTCACCAAAATCGGGACCAAGCACCATTTCACCTCGGTCGAGCATCCTTAGACAAACGGCCAGGCTGAATCCGAGAACAGGGTAATACTCAAAGGGCTAAAACGAAGACTCGGTGACGCCAAGAGGGCATGGGTCGAGGAACTCCACAGCGTCCTCTGGGCGTACCGAACCACGCCTCACTCTACCACGGGGGAAACACCATTTCGCCTCACGTATGGAACCGAGGCAGTGATCCCGATCGAGACACGAGAACCATCCAGACAAACAGAGGCTCCCCTCGAGACCGAAGACAACGACGACGCCCTCCGAGAGGAACTCGACCTAGTCGAGGAAATTCGGTCGGGAGCATCTCTTCGAGAAGCCCGGCTGAAACAGCAGGTAGCGCTCCGTCACGACAGTAGAGTCCTGAAACGCGAATTTCAGATCGGCGATTTAGTCTTGCAAAGAAACCAGAAAGACTCCCACGAGGGTAAACTAGCCGCGAACTGGGAAGGTCCCTACCGCGTCCGCGACAAGACAGAGCACGGGGCCTACTACCTCGAAAACCTACACGGGGAACAACTAGTTCGACCATGGAACACCGAGAAGCTGAAACGATACTACAGTTAACAACTTCCCGCGATGCCAAAACGTCACGACCACTGGGGGGCGACATGGTACCACCGCACCTCCTCACGTCTTCTAGAGACCAACGAAAAGCAAGCCCTACCTTTGTGTGCGCAGGTAAAAGGCTCTGCTCGGGCGGGAATACCTCGATCGAGATTCCTCGCTGCCGTACCAGCACCGGCAGGACACCCAGCTCGCGATGGGACGTCCACGCCATGGGGAGAGCTACCCCCGAACCGGTCAGGCAACAAAGCCGACCACCCGACCAGTTCCCCACACCGCCGGAAACAATTATCGTCGAGCTACCACCCCCGGATATGCCCAAAAACAGACATGTGTTTCAAACATACAAACATATATTTCGAGCATGCAAGCACGTGCAGATATATAATGAGCATAAACAAACATGCAGAAACAAAACCGAGTGCACACTTAGAAAAAATTTCAAGAATTATAAAGGGGGCACCAACCCAATAGTTATGTTACACCATGAAGGGCACACAGGCCCGTCGAAACAAAAAACTTAAAAGAAAATTACAAAAGCATCGGCACGCAGGCCCGGGGAAAGTCTACACATCCTCGCCCTCCTTCTCAGCATCCACGTTAACAACATCGGGGCCGACAAACTCCGGATCGATCACCTTCCCATCGACGATCTCGTGGTAGGGCCCGACCCCGCCCACAACCAAAGCGACGCCAGAGTTGACGACCTGGAGTTGCGCGAAGGCACTTTTGAACCCGACCTCGACGGCTTCCAGACAATCATTCTCCAATACCCGAATTCGGGCAAGCAAATCCGCGCGAGTGATCATCCGCCTATCTTCCTCGGTCTCGTCCTTAGCCGGACGGAGGGCACTGTCTAGAACCTCCACGCGAACCTTCAGCGCTTGCACCTTGGCCTCCACCGCCCCCAACTTCTCCTCGACAGTCGTCACCTTCTCCTCGGCGCCATCCGCCCACTTGCGCTGATCAGCAGCGTCCTTCTGACTCTTTTCCAACTCCTCGGAGAGCTTGGCTAGGCGCGACTGCGTGAAGGTGAGATCCCCTCGCTGCTTGGTCAGCTCGGCGGTAGAGCATCCTTCCTCACTTAGGACCATCGCCGTGGCAAAGGTCCGCATCATCGCGGCCAGATCCTCCGCCAAGATACGACGACGAGACTCTCGGTCCGCATCCAGAACCGCCTTCACTTCACCAGCAGAAATAGTGGGCGACCCTGGCCCCGTGAAAATAGCCCGGGTGTTGATGGCACAGCGGGACAACATAGCCCTCCTCGGCAGACCCGGTCGTCAGATCAATTAGGCCACTGGGCTCCTCGGTTCTTGGCCTCTTCGCAGTCCCCTGAGATGAGGGAGACTGACTCTCCTGAGGAGACGAAGACGAGCTCTGGCCGCCCTAGACCACAGCTTCCTGCCCGATTAGTTGGCTCACCCGCGTCTTCGTAGCCCTAGCAACCTTCGAGGCGCGCAGCTTCTTCACCCGCTCTTCGACGGAAGACATGTTCGCTGCAAAAAAACAAAAAGAGTCAGCAACAGACAAAGCATAGAGTCACGAGAAATAGGAAGTGTCCCTACCTAGGTAATCAAGAGCATCCGCCGCCGAGGTGCAACCGAGCAAGGTTTTCGTGTTAATCAACCTCTTCTTCGTTCGCATGTTCCCCTGCGCGTCGAAGATATACCGACCATCAGGCGTCACCAGTTTCGACGGGGGCAGACCCCGCACAAACGCCACTATCTTCATATAGGAGGCCATGTCCCCCTCGTCAAGGGTCCCAACCCGCACTATATATCAGTCGGTTCCGCGGTTGAAGTGCTCCGGGGTCCACAGCAAATGCACCTTCGGAAGCCACGCGACGAACTGCTGGCCATCCACCACTCGCTCCCCCTCAGTAAAAAAGAGAGTCTGACCCTTCCCATGTGATCGGCCTCACGAGGAAGAAGCGGCCCTTGAAATCCCGGACGGAGTCACTGTACGTCTTAAAAAGCGTGGTCGGATGCTTAAACGAGACCCAACCCTGCCGGCCATTCACCGTTTTCCATTGCAAGTGGAAAATGCGGAAAAATAAGGGCACCGTGGCTTCGACCTGGAGAAAGCGGCACACCAGCTCGAAGGCGCGGATAAAGGCCAGGGCGTTGGGATGCAGCTGAGACGGAGCCAGACACAGCCAGTCCAAAAGACCCAAATGGAAAGCGGAGAATGACAGTCTGAGTCGGGCCTCTTTAAAATAAAACTCGTGCATAGGAAACATCCGCCACCCATAGCTCGAGCAAATACAGTGATGCTCCTTGGGACGGTACACCTTCCAGTTTTGCGGCTCTCCCTCCACCCGATCCTCTACGGTGGTATGGGCACCAGACGTTTCGAAGGTGAAACAAGACGGGGTGGACAGGGGCTCTTCAGCCACCCATTCCTCGATGGGGAGAACCCTCACGTCAAAGTATGGGACTTCGGGCTCGTTGTCTTCGACCATCGTCCCCGATATCAAGGCCGACATGAACACCTGAAAAGCAGAGGATAACGGTAAATTCGATAGCCAAGATCAAATCCACCCTTCCACCACAGGTCAAGTGAAAGGGCGACGACGGCGGTTTCGCGAACAGAAGACAAACGCCCGGGCAAGCCCCGAGGGGCATTCCCCACCACTTCTCCAAGAGACATCCAAAACTAACCTATCGCCCCTCCCCGGGGGCTTCATTGGAAGAAGCACTCGTCCCCGGGGCATTCATCAGAATAGTCGATCCTCCTCGACGCATTCATCTAAACAACCCTAAAACTCCACCAGATACGGCAGAGACTCGCGTCTCTCCTCGGGGCATTCATCGTGCCCCGACCACAAACCCAAATTAAACGGCGAAAATAAAGGAAAGGAGGAAGGAAAACTTACTTTATAAGCGGCGAATGACGGAGTGCGAAACGGACGGCACGACGGCGATTCACGGCAACGGCGGACGGGGATGAACTACAGAGCTTCGTAAGTGAAAGGGCAAGGTGAAAAGTAAAAAGTGCGCGGGGACTCCCATATTTATAACCCGGTGCGGAACTCCAAGCGGCACTAGGCCCTTGAGTAACCTAGGGTAGCTGCCCTCACGCCCACTCAATGCGTAACACATGGCAGTAGGCTGACAGTCGCGTCCCTTCAAATACCTTTGCCCCGCGCAACCGGCGACGTGGATAGATCGTCGCGCGCACGCACCTCGACGAACACGAGCCGACGTAATCTCGCACCTCGCGACCTTCTTCCCCGGAACAACGTTCTCAAGTCCTCGCTCGTCCACCGAAGAGCTTCGACTTGGGGGGCTCCTGTTCTGGTCTGCTCCCCGGCCTCAACTCGCGGCCCAACCCAATGATACACAATAAAGGCCCAATATGGTTTGAGTGGGACGGCCGAGCACGTGACCCCTCGACGGGCAGGGCATGCTCCCGCCGAGGAGAACAACGTGCCTCAGGACGCCCCCTGCGCTCTCCCCTTTGCGGGAAGGCGCTGCCAATCACCGCCCCTCGTCGGGCAGAACAGCCTTCCGCGGGCAGAATCTCCCTACCGCCGAGCAGGACAACGCGTCTCTCCCACGCCCTCGGGTGCTCCCCTCCGCGAGGAGAACTATACGCCTCCGGAGAACCTCGCGAGCTCCCCTTCGCAGGGAGAGCAACGTGCCATGCACACGTTCTCCACGTGCCCCCCTTCGCGGGGACACGCCACCAACCAACTACCAACCTCCGAAAGAGCAGGTCAAACCCACTTCCCGGAGATCAAGGGGCAGTTGGACTAGGGCGAATACCGCGTCCTAGTCTTCACTACGCCACGTAAGCCCTAGCAGTCACCTGGGTTGGGCCTGACAATCCAGCCCAACGCAAGTGACCGTTGGCCCAGCGCTGGGGTCTCTCTATAAATACCCTCTTCCACAAGAGGGTCAGGTAATTCACTTCTTACCCCTTTTTCTGTACTTGTGATCACTTTGTCCATAGACTTACTTTGGCATCGAAGTGCCTTGCAGAGACACCCCCTCCTCAAAGCAGATCAAAAATAAAATAAAGAATAACGTGACTTAAATAATATTATTTGATTGAGTTCAACTAAACTAAAAATAAAGAGAATATTATCAATATTCCATATTGATTTTCATCCGAAAGCAAAATGGTTGGAAGTTTCAAAGGTGACTCACACACTCTGCCTAACAGTACTCCTTCTTTTAGAATAAAACAAACTTTAAAACTTTTTATTAAAAATAAAATAACCTTACTTCTACACGAAGTAGTCTTCACAACACCTCATTGCTTTTTAGAGGTTTTTCACTCTAAAATCTCTCTGATTCTTCACATTTTTCTACTTCATTATGGCTTCACCGAAACAACACGTTGAAGAGATTCGAAGAACTAAATTCTCTATCGGCGGAGAACCTAATCCGTTGACTGAAGATCTTCATCATGCAGTGAAGAATCTCTCCGCGGAGCTTTACGCAAAAGATGTTCACTTCCTCATGGAACTCGTTCAAGTACATTTTCATTTTCATCCTTTTCTGTTTCATGTATTTTGTTCCTTATACGCAAGGTAAAGGCTTCCGCGATTCCGGTAGATACAGATGTTGCGACACTTGCAGCATTTTAGAATCTTCATGCGTACTATTTGAATAATAATAAATTAATAATGATGTTGTTAAGATTTTATGGTTGATTTTAGGATAAATTGTTTAGTTACACGTAGTATTAATAAGACTATGCTTATTCGTTCTTTCTTTTTTTTAATGTAATTACAATGCATGATTTGATATGAGAGTAATAGGTTTTTGTAGTTTAAAATTATAGTGGTTGAAATTAACGTTTATAACTATATCTATACTTATACAGAATGCTGAAGATAATTCTTATAATGATGGAGTGAAACCAAGACTTGAGTTTGTTATAACTTCTGATGATATTACTGCTACGGGTGCTCCGGCGACATTGCTTATTTTCAATAATGAAAAGGGATTTTCTCCGAAAAACATTGAGTCCATATGCAGTGTTGGACGATCAACCAAGAAAGGCAACCGAAGCAGTGGTTACATTGGAGAGAAAGGTATATCACATTCTTATATTAAAATGTTTCCTAAAGTGTTGATATGGTTAATTACTTACTTTCGATGAAGTTTGGTTGAATTTTTTCATTGTTTTATCTATTTCTGAATTGTAAGCATATGCATATGCATTTAATTTGTTCAAATGAATTCAATGTAGTTCTATCTGTTTTTGTAAATTTTAAATGTATTTACTTTCTTTTATAGAAACCTTGGTCATTTTTGGAAATACTTGTTACTCAAGCAATACTATCAAAATTATGGTTTAATATAGATATCTATTGGAGCTTCATAAATTGAGATGATGCAAATCTTTGACAGAATCTCTTGTATGGAATTTCAGGAATTGGTTTCAAGAGTGTGTTTCTAGTTACTGCTCAACCTGATATTTTTAGCAATGAATATCAGATAAGGTTCAATGAGAAGCCATGTCCACATTGCAGTCTTGGTTATATAGTTCCTGAATGGGTTGAAGAGAAGCCAACCCTTGCAGAAATAAAGAAGATATATGGTAATGATTCTCTTCCAACTACGACAATTGTCTTGCCTTTGAAGCCGGATAAGGTCAATCCTGTTAAACAGCAGCTGTCAAGCGTTCATCCAGAAGTCCTTTTGTTTCTGACCAAAATCAGACAGCTTTCAGTCAGAGAAGTTAACGAGATTCCCACACAGAAGAACACTGTAACTGCTGTATCAATTTCAAGCGAGGTTGACTTTGTGACAATGAAAAATATGAATGCTGAGTCTTACACACTCCATCTCTCTGCAGAGGAAAATAGTGATGATGAGATGGAATGCAGCTACTACATGTGGAAGCAAAAGTTTCCAGTCAGGCTGGAAAATATGGTTGAAAGGAGAACAGATGTGGAAGAGTGGGTTGTGACATTGGCTTTTCCAAATCAAGAGAGGCTTCATAGAGGCAAAAGCTCACCGGGGGTCTATGCATTTCTTCCAACAGAAATGGTTACTAATTTTCCTTTCATTATCCAAGCAGATTTTGTTCTTGCCTCGTCAAGGGAGACAATTCTCCTGGATAATAAATGGAACCAAGGGATACTTGAATGTGTTCCATCAGCCTTTATGGACGCATTCAAAACACTTGTCATAGGATCGGATCAAGCTCCAGTATCTAGTTTGGCTCAAATGTTTAAGTTCCTTCCCGTTGAAAGTTCTCCATTTGAGAAGTTTAATCACGTGAGGGACAAAATCAAAGCAAAATTGGTTGAAGAAAATATTATTCCGATTGAGACATACACAGAGCAGAAGCACTTCTATAAGCCTGGTGAAGTTCACAGACTGCTGCCTGAATTTTGGGATATTTTGAATAAAGCCAGGGACGAAGGAGTGTATCTGCTTAACCTCTCTTCTCATGATGGGAGGAAGATCTTGAGTTCTTCCTTTGATACAAGCGAGTATGATCAAGTACTCAACTTTTTAGGGGTGAAGTTAGTTGATGTTGATTGGTACGCAAAGTGTATCCAGAGTTCTAATCTTGTGGATGGAGTATCGGAAAAACTCTATCTTCAGCTTTTACTCTTTGTTGCTAAAAACTGGTCTTCAAAATTTAAGGGCACGAGCATTAATAGTATTCCTTTGATTAAGTATGTGGCCTTGGATGGAAGTCCATCCTCTTTCAGTCTTCATGAATGCACACAGCCCCATGCAGGTGCCAAGCGAGTAGTAATTACAGACTCAAGTGAGTTTGATGCTTGCTCTTGGCTGATCGATTGGAACAAAGAATTTGCATGTGCAGCAAACCGTTTTTTTATGCCAGAAAGCACGCAAAAAGCTATTTTGCATTTTTCCCAGAAACAGACTTTGATGGAATGGCTTGTAAATCAAGTTTATGTTACTGATTTGAGTGTGTACGCTTTTGCCAAAGTCCTCTGCAACTCTGTTAAAAATAACAGGAAACATGCTATTGCATATGCTCATTTTTTGTATCACTCATTTTCAAAGGCTCATTTGTCAAAGCGGGAGGTTGATACTCTCTGTAATTCTATGCCACTTATTGATAATTATGGTTCTATCACCGAAATAAGAAAAGGGGTTCTTGTGCCTGCAAATGTGAGCAAATGGGCAGACTTGATTGTTTCTAATCCTTGGAGGAATGAAGATTATGTTGAGCTTGGAAAGGAGTACCTTAATGCATCATTTTGTGCAGGTCAATTTACAGATTCCGGGGAGCTTATTAGTTTCCTTACTACTCATGTTGGAGCTTCTGACATACCTCATATATCTCCTCCAAATGCTGGGTTTTCAGCTGTTGATACTCCACTAACCAAAGACAATGCCTTTTTGCTATTGGAATGGATTTGGAATCTGAGGTACAAAGGAGTGCACCTACCAAAGAGGTTTTTGGAATGTATAAAAGAAGGCAGCTGGCTTAAAAATACTGTCAATGGATACAGCCCCCCCTCAAAGTCGTTTTTAATTCGCTCACCATTGGGGAAAATTCTGCAAACAGGTTCTGTTCTTGTTGATATTCCATTGATTGATGTGAGGTTCTATGGGGATAGAATAAATAGATATGAAGAGGAGTTGAGAACAATTGGAGTGATGTCCAGTTGTGAGGAAGCATGCAATTTCATTGGAAAAGAACTGATGTCTCGTGCATCTTCCTTCACTTTAAGCAAGAATCATGTTCTTTTGATGCTTAACTTCATGCGATACCTCAGGGAAAGTCTTCTTCCTCTCGACAAATTTGTGAACAGCATCAAAGATGGGCCTTGGCTCAAGACTTCTTGGGGTTTTAGGTCTCCCGAGGGATCTGTATTGAATGATTCTGAATGGAAAGTTGCATCTGAAATTAGTAATATCCCTTTTATCGACCAATCTTATTTTGGTTATGAAATATATAATTACAAAGAGGAGCTCAAGTTGCTAGGAGTGATAGTTGGCTTAAGTGATAATTATGAAACTGTCATCAAGCATTTAAAATCACCGTCAAATTTGGCGTCTTTGACAGCTGAGGCTCTTCTTTTGACAATGCATTGCATCAGACTCTTGAATGACAGTAGTAAACTCTCTACTTCACTTAAGGAAACAAGCTGCCTGAAGACAAACATGGGTTTCAAAAAGCCAAGTGAATGTTTCTTGTATGATCAGGTGTGGGGTTGCATTTTGGATGTATTCAGTGGCCTTCCTGTGATTGATCATAAATTCTATGGAGAGAAGATTTTTTCTTACAAAGCTCAGCTGAGGAAAATCGGTGTGGCGGTTGATTTTGAAGATGCTGTAAAAATATTTGCTTCTCTCTTCGAACAGAAGGCATCACAAACTTCATTTGATAAAGAAAATGTCATGTCATTTCTTTCTTGTTGCAGGAAGCTGAAGGGAACTGATTATAGATTTCCTCCTGATTTCTCAACCATTATACGTAATCAGAAGTGGCTGTACACTAAGGTTGGCTGTTATATGTGCCCGAAAAAATGCATATTATATGGTCCGGAGTGGAAATCTATATCTTCAATTACTTGTCTCCCATTCATTGACGACAGCGACAAATTTTATGGTACGACAATATATGAATACAAGTCAGAGCTAAAGAATGTTGGCGTTGTTACTGAATTGAAAAATGGAGTGAGGTTTGTTCCCGAGTGTCTGAACTTTCCTTCAAATCCTTCCACCATTACTCCTGAAAGTGTGTTTTCTTTGCTGGAATGCATCCGAAGCCTATTAAGCGAGCATAAGCTTTCTATTGATGATGAGTTTAAAAAGAGATTGTCCAGAAATTGGCTGAAGACACATGCTGGTTATAGGCCTCCAGAGTCGTGCTTGTTGTTTGATTCCAAGTGGAGTTCTTTCTTTAATCCAACTGACGGGCCTTTTATTGATGCGAATTTTTATGGACCTAAAATAACATCTTTCCAGAAAGAACTTAATGCAGTAGGAGTCATTATTGACCTTGAGAAAGGGTGTGCTTTGCTTGCCAGTCACCTTGACTCTCTCTCTAACACTGATAATATTGTGAAGATATATGGGTATTTCATTTATCCAACTACTTGTTATGTCTCTCTGTTTGCTTCTTTCTTATCAGCCACCTTAATACTTTTTCTGACTTCTATAATATTGTGAACATATATAGGTACTTGTCCGAATACAATTGGAAACCAGAGAAGGAAGATGACAAGAAAATTTGGATTTCGAATGCAACTGAAGGTGGGAAGTGGGTCAATTCTGAAGAATGTGTCATACATGACTCGGATAAGCTTTTTAGTTTAAAATTTTATGTTCTTGAAAATATCTATGATAAGAAAATTCTTCCCTTCTTAACCTTTCCCATGGAAGTCAGGACTAAGCCCTCACTTGACGATTATGTTGATCTTTGGAATGATTGGGAGAGATCATCCGAAGAATTTTCGTATGACAAATGCAGGAAATTCTGGATGTTTATCATGAAACACTTGGGCACAAATACCGAGAAGAAACTTTTTGACAGGCTGATCAAACTACCTGTAACAACGAGCAGCCTAGAAATATTTCTGGTAGATAAGAAAGATGCTTTTATTCCTGATAACCTTCATCTAAAGAAGCTCTTTGAGCAAGAGAAAATTTTTGTGTGGTATCCTCAGCAGAATTTTGGGCCATCCTCCATTGCAAAGTTGTATGATATCTACCGAAAGATAGGTGCTCGGAATATCTCTGAATCACTATACAAAGAAGAATCATCCTTAGTTAATGATGACGGTGTTGAAATGGTGCGAGTTGATCGTAATAACATTTTCAACTTAAAAGGTTTGGTTAAGCTCATTCTTGGTTTCCTTGCTGGTTCAAGTCTGAAAATGGAACCTGATAAGAGGCATGAAGCTGTTCAAGGTCTTCTCAACCTGAGTTTCCTCAAGACAATGGTGCCGGTCACGGTAAGCTATAGTTTATCACTATCATCAGGGTACATTGTTGTCAAGAAAGATGACAAAATGGTTCGCTGGAATAGGCAGAGTTCCAAGTTTTTCATCCAGAAAATGGATGAGCCTCAGAGAAATGCACTGAAGTATGCAACATATTTATCTGAGACAATATCAGAAGGTGTTTTGTCTGAGAATCATGATTTTGTTCCTGCTCTCTCTGAATTAATCACACTGGGGTTTGTGCTGAAATTCAAGAATGAAGATATTGAATTTCTGATGGAGTCCAAGAATTTGCAGATTTACTGTGAGGATGAAAAGTTCCTCAGTTCTGCCTTCCCATCTGACTAAGTATCATGTATTGGTTTTACTTGTTACTGTGTGTGTCTGTTTGTAACTCTAGTAAAGTTGTATGATCAATTGTTGGTGTTATTTGTTTCTGCTATGCCTGGATAGCTGGTTTGCAATATGCAACAGCTGTAGTATTGATGTCTTTTTTGCAGTTGTAGCACTATTCATTGTTTGTTTCTGATATATTCCAGATTAAAAGGAATACTCTCTTTGAAAAAGTAGTTTCCTTTTGGTTTTTGTTTGATTGTTGAAATGATGTCATTTCAAGTAATGCGTGCATCAAGAGTGTAATTCAAATAGAGGCTTCATGTTGTGCCACGTCCTAAATCTATTAATAAGATAATAATGGTAACTGGGTGCAAAGATTTTTTTAATTCATGTAATCTATAACAAATAGGATGAAAGTTGTCATGTTTATTCTTCCGCCAAATGCTCGTTTAAATAGAGAGAATATAATTAACATATTTTAAAATAAAAATAGAGAATCCTTTATAATAAAGGAGAAGTAATAACATTATTTTCCAAACATATTTCTTTCACTAGTTTTTTTTTCATTGCATATGGTTTATATTTCTTATGTTCTTAGTTGTGCTAGCAAAGATTTATAAGGTCAAATCAGCTGAGCACAAGAGTAGCACGAAAACATTCTTTGAAAATAGGAATTGGAGTTTGAAAATTGACATGACATACCAGCGTCGTTTTCAAAGTAGGAACTTGTTGGTTTGGAAGGTAGTTGTGATTAAGGTTAAATGTCGAAATAATAAAGTCTTTTATTCTCCTTAGAATTACCGATTAAAGTTAAATGTCAAAATAATAAAGTCTTTTATTCTCCTTCGTATTACGGATCATCTTTCCCGAGTTCAAAGGTTCATATACATTTTGCCCCAGCAAATTGTAGAAGTTCAAATCACGTTTTGTTTGTACCATATACATTTTATATCATCAGAGAACCTTTGAATCATTTGAATTATGAAGGGATACTTGACATGTTTCCAGCAATAGTGAGATAGATGAAAGACAACTTAAGGAACCTTCTACCAGCTGAGAGAATTGTGCTGGTCAGAGAAACACATCCAACCAATAGAAATATATAATAGCAACACCAGAAGAGGCCCACATACTCATTATTGAAAAGCATAATTTAACATTACTTGTTGTGTGTAATGTTAGGCCGGTCCACCTAGCAGCATAAAGTTGACTGTTTTTCATGTTATGACTCATCTTTTCCTTCAACCTCGTAGTGTCAAAGGTACTGCATTCCTTATCTCCAAACAGAATTGTTTTTCTCCGGAAAATAGTTCATGAGAATGAAAAAATACGAAAGAGTTTTAATGATGTAGTGGATGAAATGACTAAGTTGAATTTGAGCCAAAATGTTGCGGTGGTTACGCAACCTAACGAAGTCAGGAGAGAAACTAGTTCTTTTGTATTAGAATCGGATATCATTGGTAGAGAAAATGACAAAAAAGAGATTATAAATTTGTTGAGGCAACCACATAGAAACCACAATGTATCCTTGATTGCTATTGTTGGTATTGGCGGTTTGGGAAAGACGGCTCTTTCTCAGTTGGTATATAATGATGAAGTGCAAAGTTTATTTGAAAAGAAAATGTGGGTATGCGTCTCTGAAAACTTTGATGTCAAAACTATTTTGAAGAACATATTGGAGTCATTATTGAATGGAAAAGTCGATGAAAACTTATCATTAGACAACTTGCAAAGTAACCTCCGTCAAAGTTTATCTGGAAGAAAGTTCTTGTTAGTCCTAGATGACATTTGGAATGAGAGTCATCATAAATGGATTGAATTGAGAACTTACTTGATGTGTGGTGCTGAAGATAGTAAGATTCTAGTGACGACTCGAAGTAAAACTGTGGCACATACAATGGGTGTATGTGATCCTTATGTTTTGAATGGTTTGACTTCAGAAGAATCATGGGGTTTGTTAAAGAACATAATTACATATGGAAATGAGGTCGAAGGAGTGAACCAAACTCTTGAATCAATTGGTAAGAAGATAGCAGAAAAGTGCAGTGGAGTTCCATTAGCTATTAGAACACTAAGAGGCCTATTACAAAGTAAACATAAAGAAAGTGAATGGAACAATGTCTTGCAAGGTGACTTTTGGAGATTATGCCAAGACGAAAGTAGCATCATGCCGGTTCTGAAACTGAGTTATCGAAGCTTGTCGCCTCAACAGAGGCAATGTTTTGCATATTGCTCTATATATCCTAAGGACTGGGAAATAGAAAAGGATGAGTTGATTCAACTGTGCATTGCACAAGGTTATCTCAATTTTTTACCTGAAACTGAGGTCATGGAAGATGTTGGTAACCAATTCGTGAAGGTTTTCTTGACAAAATTATTTTTTCAAGATGCAAAAATGGATGAAGATGGGGATATATATAGTTTCAAAATGCATGATTTAATGCATGACCTTGCAATGCAAGTAGCTGGCAAAGATTGTTGTTCCTTGGATGGCGAGGCGTAAGAACTAGCTAGAAAACCCATGCATGTATCATTTCAACGTAATGCCATTGGTTTATTGAACTCATTGGATGCAAGTAGGCTGAGAACTTTGGTTTTGTTGTCCTCGTCTCCCTATGGGACAGGATTGGACGGGGAGGAATCGTCAGTTATATCAAATTTCAAATACTTGCGCGTCTTGAAACTGTCAGATTCTTTTTTAACCGAGCTATCCGGTTCAATTGGAAAATTAAAGCATTTAAGATGCCTTAACTTATATAATTGCAGGGCTTCGATTGATATTTTCAAATCCATAAGCAGTCTTGTTTTCCTAAAAACCTTGAAATTGCGGATCCATGAACTCACTTTTAATGAGTTTGATGTGAGTGGTATTCATAGTTCAAACTGGCTTTCTTCACTAACAAATATTGTTGAAATCTCTATCACTTATTGTGGAAATTCAAAATCTTACTTCACTCCAACATCTTCAAATTGAATATTTTTCAAGTAAACAATTTCATGACATTGCTATTTGGTTTAATAACTGTTTCAACTGTCTTCCTTCTCTGCAAAAACTCACCTTACAGCGTTGTGATGACCCAAAGGCATTGCCTGATTGGATATGTAGCCTCTCGTCGCTTCAACATGTGACCATAAGATATTTTGCAAGTTTAGCATCGCTGCCTGAAGGAATGTCTCATCTTACCAAATTAAAGACCCTTGAAATCATTGGATGTCCCCTGTTAGTTAAAGAATGCGCCACACAAACGGGCTCAACTTGGTCCAGAATTGCTCACATCCCAAACATAATCTTAAGGGATTTCATTTAGAAAGGTACCATATATCCTCTTATAACAACTGTTTCTATTTTTTTTTCTTCTGGATTTTCAAAAGTAAATAGCTTCCAATATCATGGACTGATAATATTCTTCTGTCTTGTTTTATGGTCACCAAAGATGCAAAACGGCCTATGGAGAGAGAACATATACATCCATCTGGAGTTGATATCTTTGTCATGTCATCTTTTCAAACTCTTATTAAATACAATTGTTGGTGCACTTTGAGGAGAAGATTTGCAATATCTCAAGTTCTTTTATTAATACTATAACTCTTCATCCATATTATTAAAACACTAATTATTGATGAATTAATTGATTGAGTTTTATGTTTGAATGAAACATGATGGTTAACCCATTCAATTTATCAATTGGTATCATAGTTTCATTAAGTATATTTTATAGCTATTATAATATTTGTTATGAATATTGTATGGTAATTGAAATTGTACATACTGATTGAAAAATTCCAATCAAATTCATATCTATTTTATCACTATTCTCCAGTTTGATTTTGTTTTTACTACTCACTATCTTTCGAGTGGAGTGATAAATCCACCATAATCTTTTAAGAATGTGTGATTAGGTCTAATTAGTTGCTCTAATATTTATAAATTTAAATTGATAAACACACGGTCGGAGAAGATGAAAGCACGGTGGAGAAGACGAGGTCAAGACGCATACAAAATGTCACAGGTTAGTTTGGTTTACTGTTGCTCTTATTAGTTTTACAATGTTGTTTGTTTTAAAGTTGCTCTTATCTTCGTTTTCAAAACATGCAGGTGTTTAACGTTGTCTTTCACCATGGAGGAGAGTTTGTAAAGTTAATTGAAGGTGAAACGATATACATGGGTGGTGTTTCGACCATAGTGTCTAGGCAAGTCATTGATAAGTGGTTAATGGTTAACATTTATAATTTGGTTAATGAGTGGGGTTACGTAGAAGGGACGTACAAGACTTGGACCAAAATCGTTGACATATATGAAAACTTTTTCCATATAAGAAATAATGATGATGCTTATGATTTTGCTGCACATGCTTGTGCCACCCAAGTAGATGGGAAATGTTTGTGGAACATGATACTAATGGTATAGAAGTTGCAGTTAAGAACCCTAGGTGTGTGAATGAAATGGTAGAGTTAGATGAAAGTGATGAAGAGGGAGTTGAAGGGTTGGATGACAGTGAGGATGAAAGAACCACTGCACTTGCAGATCGATTTGATGGAATTGATGTATCTCTACCCATTAGTGATGGTCCAATAGTAGCTGGATTGTTAACTAGTTCCAATAAGAAGAAATGGGAAGATGATGAATATGTTAGTGATGAGCTAGACGACTCTGATCCAAATGATTTTGAAGATGATAATGAGCCTAAGTTTGAGAGGTTTAGGAAAGACCAACTTAATAAGAATTTTAAGTTTAATTAGGGTATGCAATTCAATTCCCTAGATGACTTTAGAGAGGCAATCCGTGAGTGGTTAATTTTAAATGGTAGGGAAATTACTTTTGTGAAAAATGAAAGTTATAGGATAATGGTAGAATGTAGGGCTAAATGTGGTCTTTTTTAATGTTATACTCTAAAGTGGGTCATAAGCACACTTATGACAGACTATAAAAGACAACCGCACATGTGCTAGAGTTTTGGATAATAGATATGCTTCATCAAGGTGGGTGGCCAAGGTTGTTATGAAGAAAATGC